AAGGAATACTTTTTGTGCCATGGACACCTTGCTTAGTGGCACATGCTTTTACGAGGACCACAATCATCTCTCGCTCCTCGTTTGCTAGCTTTTTGGGAGGATGGTTGTGGATGTTTCATTTATTGCAAATCTCGTAGTAGTATTGTGGCACTAACCTTGTAGCTTGGACATTAATGCTAAATGTTTGGTGGTGAAGCTGGGAGCTAGACCACCATTGATAGCTGCAAGATGAAGTTCCCGCTATCAAGCTTATGGCCATAAACTAAGCACTGCTAGGAGATACCCTGGATTATCATAAAAAATATATAAGATAATATCCATAAAACACACACACAATCTTTCCTTTTCAATAAAAGCAAGAACATGTTGTCAAGTTAATATGCACCTTCAGGTATTCTTGGTTGCTAACCATTTCAGGATAAGACCAAGAAGAACAAGGGTGCGTACCATGTTAGAGAACATGGGAGCTGCATCAACCATACACCTCGATGCCCTTTGGTGATGGAACACATTCAAGAGGAGGCTCTGACTCTGCACACTTGACTTTTACACAAAAAGTCCAAGTGTGGGGGAGGTTGGTGAAAGTCTCACCACAAGTTCCATACACACCAAAGGCCACTTAATTAAAAAGAAAAAAATGATGTCAACTCCGCCTTGCTAAAAAAAGAGAGCTAAAGAGAGAGAGAGAAATATACATGAAAAAGAGAAAAAATGATATATATATATATATAGAGAGACAGAAAAAAGAGGAAAAGAGAAAAGGAGTCGCAAGAAGGGTGCTCCCCTTCTATACCTTTGCTGCTTATCACCAAAGCCCATGGTCTATATACACTATTTGTGTGTGTAGCCTAGCCTTGTTGATCGCCTGAGTAGGACTATATGCAATCAAGCCACCGTGAAGCCGGCTCAAAGCTTGAGCTACATATGCTGCCGGTAAATATACTCAGGCATGCAAAGGTAATTCAATGTTCACCAACATCGTTACTCATGTTTGTCTCCTTGAAAATATAAACGTGCACACCCATGCTTTGCTTGTTTATATCGTATGCTCTGGTTTGGGTGTATTTTATATAGATATACCCATAGGCCTTTTGAATTAAGCATGGTGCTTAGGTCAAAACAGCCTTCTTTAATCAAAATTTGACATGGTGTTAAAATTTGGTTAATGAACTTTAGAGTATTATTTTCATAAACAATGGAAGTACTCTAATAAGGACATAAACCAAGGCTAGGAAAAACATTGCAACCTTACTTTAGCCTTGCTTGAGTTAAACTAAAAATAATAATAAAAAAAGTTGGATGAACAAGTTTTTAATAATAATAAAATAAAATAAATAAAATAATAATAATCATAATAATGACTATGACAATAATAATAAGATTTAGGCTCCTCGGTGTTCAAGCCGGTAGAGCCCTTGCTTATTCCATTTTCTTTTCTTTGTATAAATGCAGGTACAAAAAAACAAGTTCCAAACTCGGTTTGTGCACTCTCACTCCCTACATTTAAATAAAGATTAAAATTGAACAAATTAAAAGTGCAAAACAAATGAAGATCAATCTCCATGCTATCCTTTGATAAAAGTTTACATACTTTTTATTCCTCACCAATATTGCTATATATGTGAACAACTTGTTACGGGGACCCCATTTCATCTAAGTAATTGGATTTTGCGATATAGTAGGATGGAAATGAAACTTGCTCTCTCATGCAAAGAACTTGGAATTTTTTTAAATCAAAATTCAAAATAGCATGCTCCTCGATGATGTTAATGTCCTACCAAAGCCATATGACTTATTACAATGCAAAAGAAAAAAAAACCTTAGTCATATGCTGCTTGTTATCACGTTGAGTTTTGTCAAATTGTTGTGACCCTTATTGAGATTCTCATCATGCACCCATGATCAAGATTTACGTGCACCCACATATAAAATACCAACTCTTACACTGAGAGTTACGCAAAAACATGCCTTTTCCATCCACTAAATAAAAATACTTCATTCATATGACATGAGTTATCTCTCTCAAAAGTTTTCATGTGCCAAAGGATGGACTATGCTAAAAAAGGGAGAAAAGAGAAAAATACCCATGCTAAAAGAGCATAAAAATGCTAAAGAGCATGAATAATCCCATGCTAAAAAGCATGAAGAAGAAAAAAGAGAGAAAGATAGCCCATACTTTCAAATAAAAGGCAACCATCAAAAGAGAGAGAGCCATACACAAAGGAGTTTAGAATCTTAGGAATTTTTTTATTACCACACACTTGCACAATCTTGATCAATGTGTATGACTTGCATTTCCTTGGATCTGGTTTTGACTTAGCAATATTATGTGATGCAAGTATGCCTCTCTTCCATACCTACCCAAAACTCCACAAAAAGCCTTTAGAGGTAGGATGAAAAGAAGGCAAATATCAAAAGCCTTTGGTGAGGACTATATACATTGAGCGATCGAGTGAGTCATTTTGAGGAGCAAAGCTAAACTTTATATTTTCAAAAACAAACAAAACCCAAGTTTCTAAGAAAGAGTAGAGTAAGAACATTTGAATCCTTGTTGTTCCATTATCCAATCACCCAAGATGTTTTGGTAGACACTCTGAAGTTCACATGTTAAGGTGAAACATGGAATAACTTGTATGCAGATCAGAAATCAAGGAGATGCACCACCTTAGTCCTTAAACTTTACTTGAGGACGAGCAAAGGGCTAAGTGTGGGGGAGCTTGTTGGCGGTTCTTAACTCACAATTTTAACTGCCAACATTCATATAAAACTTACTTAAATGGAAACCAAACCTAGCAATAGGGCTTTAAAGTAATGAATTCCATAGGTTTTGGTGAGTTATGCATTTGCAGGACACATACATGGAATACATATGAAAAATAGTCAAAATACGCAAACAGAGAAAGCGTAACGCAGATCCACTCAAGCAAATAGAAGGAAGGCCCACTTACCATGCAAACCTAGGCCCCAAACCCACCGAGGAGGAGTCTAGGCCCAAAATGCAACCACCATGCGCAAGGCGGTCGCGGGGAGGTGGCACCTAGGTGCGGGCGCACCAGGGGTGTAGCCGCAACCCTAGCCCCTCCAACCGCCTCCAGTCGCCACGTGTCGCCTCCTGGTGCCTCCCCCACGTCGGTTGCATGCAGATCCCCCAAATATTCCCTCTCCAACCGAGCATTCTACACTATAAATAGATGGGAGAGGCCTCCTCATTCGATCATCAACGCAAGAGACAACACAATGTAACAAGAAGAGAAGAGCTACACTCCTATTTATAGTTTTAGCTATTCTTAGTGTAGGGAGTGAGTGAGTAAGAGCGAGAGGAGTACCAGAGATGTCAGCTCCCTCTCTACTTGTACCTCAACGGACCTTGTGCTACATGGTGTATAAGGTTCGTGTTCTTCTATGGTGGTGAGTTCTCAATTTAAGTTAGTTTCGTTTACTATTTACTTACGAGTTCGTCATTCATCCTTGTGACGAATACTCTAGTGAGGGTCCGGATAAGGACGGATAACCCTGGTCGACACTAGAGTAGTAGTTGATAGTGTAGATGTGGTGTCTAGGCTAGATGTTACCTTCGTTTGCCTCGTACTCCGCGGTTGAGGGGTAGGCGACAGGTGGTGACAGCCCTATCCATTCCTTGTAATCCCCCATGTCCGGGTATGGCGTAGAGCCATAGACCGGGATCGCCTAGCAGACCGGGTGTGCTCCGATGCCCGAAGCAAGTCTATAGTGGCAAAGCTATCTTAATTTAGGATCTATATCCTTAGAAAACCTCACTTCCCGAGCTATCTTTCTTCTTGTTATCCTAGGTGAACTAGTTAAAAGACTTTTACACATCTGTTTCTCGTGGAAATACGATACCCTGAATACTTTCAGGTGGAATGCTACAACGATAATTCTGTACGCTTGCGGATTATTTCTGTATGCGTTAAGAAATACCAACACCGCACGCGGGGGCGCTTGTTTTCAGATGCGGGGGTGCGCTAGTTCTATTGTATCGGATAGGTGCACTTATTTCCGTTGTTTTATTCGATGAGATTGGACGACTCTTGTTATCTCAATTGGATGGTCCCCGAGGTGCGTCCGGATGCCTGCTCGCGCCGGACGTCCGGGCACTAGTTGGGTCGATAAATTTTACCTGAAAATTGTAGAACTTGTCAAGATATTCAACTCAACTTTGTAGTTCACAACATTTTTTTAAAATCATCTTGGCACCGAAATAATAGATACAATGTACAAATACAAACATAAAGATTTGATCCGTTATTTTAGCACTAAGATGGCTTCAAATGAAAAATGTTGTGAGCTACAAAGATGTAGATTTCCTTGAACAGTACAAATTTCATATAAAATATGAGGCTATATGCAAAAGGTTATGATATTTTAGATATACTATTTAGATAGGATAGTGAATAAATTGATTTTGATTTATCAATTCACTAATATAACATATAATATTTAAAAATAGAAATTTTTCAAATGAGCATAGACGGAAACAAAAATTATATAGAAACATAGAAATTATAGACCTCGTCGAGGTCTAAAATTTTAGAAATTATAGCTCATGATACATGACCGCCCTTCTATAGTCTAACGCCAACCGTTGCACTTACTGCATTTTTCTCTTACATATAAAAAACTACTTAAACTGCAAAATTACAAGTAGTATCTTTAACTGAATTGAACAATCTCAAAGATGAACATGCTTGCGGCCGCGGACAGAAATCAAAATATTGGGTTGTTGGCAGCATTGGCTGTCAAAAAATGTCAATATTGAATGGACTGTGCTGTGGTGCACCATAGCGTTCGTTAAGATCACATCACACTGAGCTGTAGTGCTGAACCGTGCACCGGTGTGTGGATAAGCCGCTTGTGGACGCCACGAGCTTCCGGTTCCGGGCCAAATACAAGAGCCGCCGGGAAGCCTGAAAAAACCACAAGAATTCTTGGCCCACGCAGCGCGCAGCCACACACACGTACACCACCCGGCACCCGCAGCCATGGCATCAGTAGGCTTCGGCACGGTCGCGCCGACCGTGGCATCGCCGGCGGCCTGGACGACGAGTCCGGCCGGCCGCCGCGCACGGCACTCCACGGCGCACGTCCCTGCCGCGACCAAGGTCGTCACAGCGGCGTCGGCGGCGAAGCAGCAAGAGGAGAAGGGCCTGTTCGACACCATCTTCGGCGCGCTGTACAAGGAGGAGCAGCTGCTGGAGACGGACCCCATCCTGAACAAGGTGGCGGGCAAGGCCGCCGCCCCGGCGCCGAAGAAAGCCTCCGCCGCCGCTCCGGAAGAGAGCGGCGGCAACGGCGGGTTCAGCCTCGGCGGGTTCTTCTCCTCCAAGCCCAAGACCAAGAAAGGGTGAACGTTATTAGCTAGTACTACAACTCGAATTGTTTTATGCTGCTCCTGCTTGCTGCTTGCTTGTGTAATTGTAATCCTCGGATCGGAGGGAGGCAGGGAGCCGGCGGCCTTGTGCAGCTTATTCTCAGCCGCCTCCAATCCATTGTAAAGTACTCTGCTTATAACATTGATTCAGAAGAGCCACATCGATCACCAAGCATCCACATCGATCACCAAGCATCCAAATCAGAGCACAATATCCATATCCATATCCAACGAAACTGGAGCAACAACCACCTCACGGCAGCACCAGCCACCAGTTGAGGGGTTTAATTTTCACCCGCAGGTTCGCTGCTGACTTTTGGTCACTAATAAAATCTTCGATTATGTGATCTGGGACAAGGGTGCTGCTTAAGCAAAGCAACATAGGCATATGCATGCCACCACATCCATTCTTGGCATTTTGGACATCAATATAGTATCTACTACCGCGCGTTTTTTTAACGCTACTTCATTTCTAAGCATTATTTTATTGAAATTAAATAATGATAAAATCTATTGTATTAGCTTAAAGGTTTTTATTTTTCATTACAGCTCTAGAGATTCTAACATATGCCCATACCATTTACCTCTGACAATTCAAAAATATTTTCCTCTAGTCAGAATTTCTAAAGTTCGATGGCACATTGGCAAGTTGATATGCTGTCGTCACTGCTTGCACCACCATACCATCACTGCTTGCGGAAATTAAAGATGGAGACATGCTCGTACGTCCGCATCTAAAACATGTCAATTAGTTCTATGCACAAACGGAATCTTGTCTTCTCTCTGTCAGTGCTTCGATTTCTACGACAGCTCTCTTCAAAACATTGGACTATATATGCCTCGGGTCGGGAATCATAACGAAAACATTCAGACAAGCTCATTTCTGTCGTTAGTTCCAGGGTGAGGACCTGAGGTTTTCAACCATGGCAATGTTCTTGTCTTCAATTTTGAGTGAACTTACCAGTAGATCCATATCGTTCCTGATCGACAAATGCTTGAGGCAGACCTCGCCGATAATAGTAGAGGAGACGCTGAGCAACCTACAGCGGCTTCTCCTCCGGGTTCAGGTCATCGTCGAGGAGGCCGATGAGCAGCACATCAGCAACCATGCCATACTGCGGCAACTGAGCCAGATAAGGAAGGAGATGTACAGAGGGTATCACTCGCTTGACACATTCAGATGCCCAGGAGCCCATGAGGAGAACAGAGTGAGCCGATCTTTCACCCCATCCATTTTCAGTCCTGCCAAACGCATCCGTTTCAGCAGCGATGGCAGCTCAAGCGAACAAGAGCAGGTCAAACAAGTTCTTGGCTGCCTAGAGGGCGCCATTAGAGAGACGAGTGAGCAGTTTTGATGTGCCGCAGAATTGCGTGGTTACTGATGGATGAGGAGAAGCTGCTGTAGGTTGCTCAGCGTCTCCTCTACTGTCGGCGGCGAGGCCAGCTGCCTAGAGCATTTGTCCATCAGGAACGATATGGATCTACTGGTAAATTCACTCAAAACTGAAGACAAGAACATGGCCATGTTGAAAACCGCACCTCCTCACCCTAGAACTAACGATAGACATGCATGAGCTTGTCTCTGAATATGTTCGTGAGGGTCCAATGTTTTGAAGAGAGCTGTCGTGGAAAACGAAGTACTGGCAGACATAAGACATGGTCGTTCGTGCATTGAATTAATCGACATGTTTTAGATGCGGACGGGGCATGACGTGTCGATTTGGTAGTTTTCCGATAATGGTGTTGGGTTATGTCGTCAGAAGGGGCCTGGGAGGAGAAATCAAGAGACATTTGTAGCAAGGACGATGCGATTCACGAGTACAACTTGTCTTCCTCTCTCTCATAGCTGGGCTACACTACACGTGCATACAGGTGCTTGGATCAGTTCCACTCGGGCCAGGAGATGTGGATGTTGGGCTTCGTGGTCTGAACACTCCGACGTGGATACCCAACAGCCACTACTACGGAAATAATTTATTATAACGTCACAATTTTTTCGGCCGACCCTCGGATCCTGCTAAGCCAGCCAGCCCTTACAAATGGCGGCTGCTATTGATCCATTCGTAGGATGGCTGATGAGTCCAGCCTTCTTATTCTTCTTTGGGTTTTGGACTACCTCCCAAAAATTGTTCTTTTAAGGCTTTGTTTGACTACACACAAATCCATCACAATCCATAAATTCCACCTCAATCCCTTCCAAACCACGTGGATTGAGGTGGATTTGTGTTCAGCCAAACAAGCCCTAAGGTGGAAAGGTTTTCATTTCAATTCTTTTGGTAAAGGAGGTTGTAGAAGGTTTCGGTTCAGGCGATGCGTTGATCGTTGATCTACTTGATTTTCCGTGCTCCGCCAGGCTCTCTCTCTAGTATCACATCTGTTTGGCTTGTAACTGTCGCCTGAAAATAAGCCATATTTGAGGCACCTGAAATACAGCAAGTCCGGAAAACATCCTGCGGTACTGCAACCTCACAGCAGCACCAGTGTGGAGTGGTGGTTTTCCCCCGCAATTCTGTTATCTGGGACAAGGCTGCTGCCTAAGCAATGAAACATGTGCATGCCACCACATCCATTCTTGGCATTTTTTGGACATCAATATATAGTACTAGCCCGGGAGGCGCGCTCCGCTGCGCCGGCTCATATACTGCATGCACGCTTGGAGGCTTGACGTGTCATAAGTTCATGGGTTCGCGCCTCAGTTGGGCATAGCGTAAATTGTTCTGCTCACCGATACAGACCTGTGTGCCTGCTGGTTCTGCACCTGTTCGTCTGATCGTTTTTATGGCTTATAATCCGACTGATGTTATTTTGTTGTGAGAAAAAAATATTATATTATGAACTGATAAGCATGGCTGATACAATCAAGCGAACAGTGTAGTGGTTCAGCCTATATTTATATTAGTAGAATAATAAAGGCACCGTCTTAGCAGAGCAATACGGAGTAGAATATAAACTTAGTTGACATGCCAACATACATTAAGCAAATGCCATCCAAGATCTGAAAACGTTCAACAGAGAAATCGACGTGTTTTCCTATAAAAAGGAAATATAAGCTCTTATGGCTACAAATGCAAAGTAATATTCAGAAACAAATTTGTCCACACAAAAGCTATATCCCCACATGAACAAAGTTTATTTGAGTACTGTCGTATTTTTGTGGATCCCATGTTTCTATTCTACAGCTGACGTTCTCTCTACAGATTACTGGAACAAAATAGAGGATACACCAACATAAGTAGGAATATATTGTTGTACTTACAAAGTCAAAGAAGACAATTAGAAGATTAAAAACAAAGTCTAGCTCTGAGTTGAACAAAAAAAATACAAATGAACAGCACAAATGAACAAAACGAATCTGTTTTTTTCAAATACAAATGAGATCTGCATAGCACACTATTGAAGAATAAAAACATGGTAAAGAATGAGTTCCAAAACTTACAAAATTATATAAGACATGGCAGGTGCTCAAAAGAACATGAGCAAAAAAGGATCACAGCCCATACCTGTCAACAATTGTTCGAATGCATTACTATGTGTGAACAATAAAGAGGCATATAAAGAGGAATGTACAAACGTCAGCAACTGAAACCATATAGATTGCACATTCTGTAGGGAAAAAAGGCATGATGTCAGAGCTTCCTATGTTCTAATAGCAAGCACAAGACACAAAAGTGAGATGATATAGTCAGAGAATCCTGTAGAACAGCTTTATCAATAAAATTTCAGTTATTCCAATAATGCACGACATAACAAAAATCTAAAAGATCTAAATGAGAAGGCATGCACCAGATATGTGCTAATTGGTGGACATGAAGCAGATGGATCGATCTTAATAACTTTCTGATATTGTTCTTTTTCTTGAACATCTCATCCATTAAAAGATAAATGCCGCTTATCACAGTTACATTGGGGGAAAACACTGTTGAGTGCTAAGCAATAAATAAAAAGGGTGAACCTATAGTTATAAAAAATTGGGGGGAGCAGAATTTTAGGAAGACACAACACATGTACAGGTAAAGTGTGTTAATCTTAACTCAATAGTTTTGAGCCATGAACAACTACAGAGAAAGATCTTATCAACGGAAATTAGATGCCACAAAAATATGATGTAAATGTAGTGATGAGATCCTAGCATATAGGTATGTTAAGCCTCGGATCCAATGGTTCTCGAACAAAGAAGCCCCGCGACTGACCCCTTCAGGGTCGCCGGGGCTCGGGGGCTATGCCCATTGGGTACGCTCGCGCGCACCCTCTGGCAAAGAGATCCGCCAAGCCTGACTCGACCGCAGCTTCTGCCTAGGGCTCGAGGGCTTTCTCGAGCCTTGGGCTCCTGATCTACGGCACCTCCGGACCCGGCCCTTGGCTCCTGCCTGGCTAACAATGCCAGCCAAGGTCCGGGCACAAGAAGACAAGCCCCGAGCTACCGATGCCCGGGGCTCCCTGGCTCCGCTCCCTAGGCGTGCCCCTGCCAACTGCTCCTCCGACAGGGTCACGTCCGGGGCGTGACACAAGAAGACAAAGCTTCCCACGGCCTCCGGGGGATCAGGGGCTTCCGGGCCCGCATGTCAGCCCCTGGAGCCGACCTCCTTTGCCACCAAGAAGACTCCAGAAGGTCTCACCTGGGGGAGGTCGGTCCATGCCGACACCGTCTGACAAGCAGAGTGTCAGAACAGAGCAGCTGGGCGACACCCAGGCTTCTTTGGCTCCAAGATACCTCGACGGTCCATGGCGCACCGCTACAAGACCCTCCTGGACTCCGGCGCACGTAGACCATAAACTAGAACCCCCAAACCGCCATGTACCCGACCTATCTCGTTATATAAGGGATAAGATCGGACCTAGGAGGGGGATCCCAATTTGATCACCAAACACTCCATTCCATTCCATCCGCTTCCGCTCTGCACCAAGAGCAAGGCAACTCGGAGAGGGGCACCGAGAGCCCCTCCTCCATCGTATCTCATTGTCTCCTTCCTCTCCGAC